TAAAGAAATAAAGAACATTACGGCCCCAAAATTTAAAGACCCAATCCAGCACTGAGAGATTATTTCTGATCTGATTTCTTTTATAGCCTGTTGCTGTTGTTTCTTTACCTTAGTTACTATCATTTCAGAAATTTCAGGTGTGTGACTTCCATGTTTTTCTATGTGAATGCCTCCTGGATTTGTTCTGGGTGGGTGGAGGTCTGAGATTGCCTGTTGCTCCTTTGTTTTGACATTTTTGAAGCTCCCAACGTTCACTCTGCTCAGCAGACAGTAGGTTGGTGTGGTGTGGGTCTGCAAGGCTGTAGCATTGGTTGTGGGACGGGTTGGGCCCACCAAGTTTGCTGCTCTCTGGAGTTTAGCATGCCTTCTGTGATGGTGAGGGGGCTGAGGTATAGCTCAACAGGGCCCCTGTGATGATGGAGGGTGATTCATAGCTCCAGAAGTCTCCTGCAACAGTAGAGGGTTGGACTGATCGAGACTCTTGTGAAAGTGGGTGAGTGTGCAGGTCAGCAAGTTTCCCTCTGTGGGAGCTAGTACTTTTTTTTTCAGTCCTGGGAATTGAACTCAGGACCTTGTGCTTGCCAGGCAAGTGATTATTCTACTGAACTATCTCCCCAGCCTGGAGCTAGTACTTTTAAAGATATGATGCATCTCTTTTCCTAGGACAGTTTTCATTTTCTAAGATTCTTTTGGAATATCTTTTTTTTTTATTTTAGATATTAGTCTCTTTAATACACCAGGATTTTTGCTTTTAAAGACTTAAAGCTTATAAATCAGTTACAAAGGAGACCTACAGGTTGAATTTGGTATAGACAAATTTTACTTGGAAAAAAATGACTCATAGATTCCTCATTAACAGTCAAACATGATCTGTGGTTTATTGTTAGTTGTGTGTATACATTTTTAAAAACTGCAGTGAGTAAGAATCCATTGTGGCCTGCAGGAACCAGATATGGACATTCCTCTCAACATAATTTAACCCAATTCAGGTTAGAGGCAAAGGAGTTATTAGTTTTAAATGAAGCAAGAGAGAAGTGGTTTAAAAGATGGAAAGGCTTCTTTAATATTAGGTTTTTAATAGCATAAGAGGGTAGTTCCTAGAAACTGCTTAGAGTCTTAGGGATAAAATGTAATTATAAGATGGGCATGATGGCACATACCTGCAGTCCTGGTGTTCTCAAGAGGCTAAGGCAGGAGGATTACAAGTTCAAGGCCAACTTGGGCAGGTTAGCAGACTTTGTCTCAAAATTTAAAAAAAAGTTAGAAAGGTGGGCCAGGCGTGTTGCTTAGCGCAGAGGGCCTGGGCTCAATCCTCAGCACTACTCTTAAGGAAGTAACTATAACACTCTCAGATTTTATATTTTTCCATAATAATTAATTGGGAACAAGTTTCCTGGATATGACAGTGATCTAGCTGTGCCTCTGTCACCTCATTGATCAGAAAGGTTAATTTTGCTGATCTGATTGAGTATGACAATTCTTCCTCCCTCACTCCTGTCTTCCTGTAAGTTCTTTCTGAAGCTGTGTGCTCAATGGGAGAGAATGATTTTCTTCAATAGAGGAGGACTGGTCTTCTACCAAGAGGATGGCAGGAGCTGAACTCCCTGCTAGGCCCTCTCAACAAGCCCTTAAGGCCCATTTGTAGGCTACCATAAGGTAGTCAAACTTCCAGGACTCTATAGGCAGAAGCAGAAATGCAGGAGGCAGCCTGCCTGTGTTAAAAAGAAATAAAAGAGAAAACAAGTTTCCTCATTCACAAATGGGGAATACTAATAAAATATTCATTATATTGTCAGTATAATTCCTAAGATGTGCATGAGCTCTTCTTTCCCACAGCCAGAATATTTTGACTTCAAATTGTTATTTTTATACATACAGCTAAAGAATGACTTCAAAAACACAATAAAAAGCCTGTCATAGTAGGGAGGGAAAATGTGAATGAGAAGATAGAATATGAGAGTAACGATGGAAATGAGTTTCAGTTAGCTTCCAAAAGATGAGACCCGTGGCCCACAGTGTGCCCCTTGCAATGAATTTTCCTGCTTGTTTTGTCATTCAAGATATTTCTTTTCAACATAACTTGCCATAGTATAAAGATTAACCATGAAGTGAGAAAACAAAATCCTAAGGGCTTTGATTTCTACCAAGGAAACAGCTCATTTATTTAGAATCTCTGTTACCTGGAGACACTCCAGACTGTGAAACGCTGTGCAGATGCCCTGGCACCCATGCTCTTGTGGCAGATTTCTTCAAGTGGGCTAGTGCATTAGGAGGGAGTCGGCAGATTTTAAACCGTGTGTGTAGAGTTTAAGTGATGAAAGATACTTTAATTACACCCTTATCTGTACCTCAGTGGAGAAGGACCACTGAAAGATCTCAAATCAGTGGAGCCTCCCGTAACAGCATTAATGCTCTGTTTTTCTGTTTATTACCTGGTCATAGGTGGCAAACACTCCTGCCCTAGATCATTACAAAGCAATGTGTATATGTAGATGCGCTGCCAAGTTCATCTCACCCCCGAGTCATCATGCTGATACAAAATTTGGTACAGCTGTTCCTGGAAGCACAGGGCCGACACACTTAGGTTCAGTAGCTGTTTTTCCTTCTTTGCCTGGGAGATAAGGGGACATTGTGAGGGACTCAGGTGGCTCCTGATAATGACCTCCTCTGCAGCCCTGAGCTCCGCTATCCCCCTGCTAGGCACGACCCCCACTTCCTCTTCAGAACGTGGCTCAGCTGTCAGCTGCATTCATCAGAAGGTGTTGTCTGAGCTTATGTGCGGGAAGGGGGAGCCAGCAGACCTACACACACTTTCACTAGGAAAAGCAAGCTGCTTGCATTCCTGATTGAGTCCGTGGAGACTTGGGGGCCGTGTGGGTGCGCGCGCGCATGTGTGTGTGTCTAGAAATAGCATTCATGAAATTTCAGTCTAGGGCCAACTGTGCTGGGTATTTTAACAACTGCATGTTCTTGGTGCCATACTTAGTAACTGGTGTTCTGTATTTCATTCTGATGCAGAGTTTGCCCTGCAATCTACTGAGTCATTGATACAGGTATTACAAAAGGGCCTGTCTATTTTCAGGGACCTTTGATCACTGAATTCATAAATTTGTTC